AATGTATATAAAGGCTAAGTAAGTGTTATGGATGAATACAATCTATTACAAGTATTATACTAACTTTGTATAATAGTCTAAAGTATTATGCTTGCATTACTATTTTTATTATAATTTCAAAGAAAGAATTATATTTATAATATAATAATGTAACAATAACTATTGTTGCCTTATAATTTATGTAAAAGGTATATTAATGTATATAATAGTGTAAGAGCACTTGTTATATCATTATTATCTTAATAAAAGTATACTATAAGTATATAATATGTATATCATACTTAGACTATCTATACAAATAGTTTACAATATTTGTAAAAGTTATTTTATCTACTCGTAATAATTACATCAGTGTGTTTAGAAAGCTATATACATGTCATATTACTTTTTAATATATTACAAAGTAAATCAATAATTTTATTTTATACCTAAATACAATAATTGAAATGTTCTATCAGTTGACGACTCATATTATAGTTGCTTATGTAATCAACTGCTGAAGATCGAGAGCATATAATGACGCATTTCTCTTCGTCACTCCTTTACCTGCTACCTTCACCATCTCCCCAACCCTCTGCCCCCAGCGCTATGTCGTCGCTTCTGTTCTCTCTGATCAAGTCCTCCGCTTGCAAGCGTCCTACCAGCGGGCACTCTGCCTGCTACAACATAGGCAATAAACATCACTGTACTCGTCTCTCCAATCTGCTGTTGCGATGCCTGCGCTGAGCCTCAGATCGTGCGATGATGCCACCGAGCTGACTACACCGTCCTTCAACATGAAGCGTAAGCAGCCAGTCCACTTCACAATAACCTGCACAATAGTTGCTCATCCATCTCCTCCCAACTTTTTGTCTTTCATCCCTCCCATCCCTCCCACTCCTTGCTCTGCCGCTTGCGTTGCCTCTCCTCCGTTGTCCTTCTTGTTTTACGCTTGCCTTCCTTTTTGCATTCGCATTCACGCATCCGCATTGTTGATCAATGCTGAACGACTTCTTCGATAATTCCATGCATTCTTCCTGCTCTGCAGTGCAAGCAGCAATCGACGAGCACACGCTCGCGACAATGTCCATGTACGACCACTCCCAAGGGGCAATCCTCTCTCCGACCCCTGCACGCACTCTCCTTCCACACCCACCATTCCATGCCTGAAAACACCCTTGATGGACCCACGCTGCGTGCATTTACAATCCCTAGTGCTGTCCATGACACCATTTCGAATAACGGAAGCAGCGGCCACTCCTCACACGTGTCCAAGTTGAGTCCGTCAACGCCTTCCACTTTGCCATCTCCCTTCGTTCCGGAACGTCCCAGAGATACGCTCTTACAATCCACGATCAGTTCACGGTACCTCCTATTGGACGCCGTATATAGACAATAGAGCGCACGCACACAGACACGATTTCGTCTGCAGTCCGAATCAGCTCGTTCAACGCTCCGGATCTCGATCTGCATGTACCACTCACACTCGCTGTACGCCGTCACGGTGCGTCCATCTTTTCTTGCTTGTTGTCACTTGCTAATCACTCTAAACCTGTCTCACAGGCGCAGCTCTCCCTTTAGGCCAGAACGCCCCGGGAATACACCCCTCAGTCAACGGTCCAGTTCACTGCACCTCTTTGGCAACACTCCGGATCTCAACCCCAGTGCACTACTCACACTCGCTACACGCCATCGCAGTGCATCCATCTCCTCAATCCAGTTACCTACTCACACTGACAACGCTCACGCCCACACTCTTAGCCAATCAATCTCACAACCTGTCTCACCCCTAATTGTTGTAGATTATAATGTATTTATATAATGTTTCAACATAATTATAAACTGTTATTTCAATAACAAACAGATATAAGGGAAAATAACTATTATTAAGATATTAAAATGATTTAAGAGCTTTATAAACAATTATAATATTTGCCATAATTAACAAGAGTGATTTAACCTTGTAATTTTAGAGATCCATTGTAATGCATTTTATATATTGCCAAGGAGAATAACTCTTATTTATGTTTACAAATTACACAAA